TCTTCCACCCTTCTTCATCTTCTTCTCCTTTTTCTAATTATTATTATTCTTCTTCTTCTTCTTCACCCCCTTATTGTTCTTATTCCACTTCTTCCAATTTTTCATTTCTTCATCTTCTGCTTATTCTTCGTCTTCTTTTTCTCCCCCTTCTTCTACTTCCTCTTCTTCGCATTATATTTCTTTTTCCTCTTCTTCCACCTTTTCCGCTTCTTCATCTTCTGCTTCTTATTCGTCTTCTTCTATTTCTCCTCCTATTTCTTCTGCATCTTCTTTTTCTTCTCCACTTAATCTCCTTCTTCCACTCCATTAACTTTTTCCTCTTCTTATTCTTCAACGTCTGATTTTTCTTCGTCCTCTTCTTCTCCTTCATCTTCTTCTTCTTCTTCTTCTTCATCTTCTTGTTCTTCTTCTTCTTCCTTCCCCCTCCTAATTCATCTCCCCATTCTTTTTCTTCTTCCTCTTCATCTTCTTCTTCTCCCACTTCTTCTTCTTCTTCTCCCCATTCTTCTTTATTTTCTTCTCCTCCTATTTTTCGTATTCTTCTTATTCTTCTTGTTCTTCTCCCCTTTCCTCTTCTTCTTCTTCTTCTTCTTCCTCTTCCAATTCTTCTTCTTCTTCTTTTTCTCCCCCTTATGCTTCTTCTTCTTCTTCTCCCCCTTCTTCTTCTTCTTCTTCTTCTTCTCCCCTTATACTTCGTTTCCTCTTCTTCCAATTTTCCCCTTCTTCTTCTTCTTCTTCTTCTACCCCTCATTCTCCTTTTCCCCCATCTTCCACTTTTTCCTCTTCTTTATCTTCTGCTTCTTCTTCGTCTTCTTCTTCTCCCCCTTCTTCTTTTTCTTCTTCTTCTTCTTCTTCTTCTTCTTCTTCTTCTCCCCCTTCTTCTTCTTCTCCTTCTTCTCCTCCTTTATTTTCTTCTTATTCTTCTTCTTCTCCCCTTTCTTCTTCTTCTTCTTCTTCTTCTTCTTCTCCCCTTCTTCTTATTCTTCCCCCCTTCTTCTTCTTCTTCTTCTTCTTCTTCTTCTTCTCCCCCTTCTTGCTCTTTTTCCATTTCTACCACTTTTTCCTCTTCTTCATCTTCTGATGCTTCGTCTTCGATTTATTCTTCTCCCCCTTCTTCTTCTTTTTCTTCTTCTTCTTCTTATTCTTCTTCTTCTTCTTCTTTTTCTCCGCCATATTTTTCTTTTTCCATTTCCTCCACATATTTCTCTTCTTCTTCTTCTGCTTCTTCTTCGCCTTCTTATTCTCCTCCTTTTTCTTCTGGCTCTTTTTATACTTCTCCATTTATTCTCCTTTTTCCTTTTCTTCAACTTTTTCCTCTTCTTCAACTTTTTCCTCTTCTTCTTCTTCTTCGAAATTTTTCTTCGTCCTCTTCTTCTTCCCCTTTTTCAACTTCTTCTTCTCATCCTTCTACTTCGTATTCTTCTCCTCCCCCTTATTCTTCTTCTTCTTTTTCGTCTTCTTCTTCTATTTCTTATTCTTCTTCTTTGTCTTCTCCCTCCCTTATAGTTCATATTCCACTTCTTCCAATTTTTCCTATTCTTCATATTCTTCTTCTTATTCTCCCCCTTCTTCTTCTCCTCCTTCTTTTTCTTCGTCTTATTCTTCTCCCACTTCTGCTTCCTCTTCTACTTCTTCTCCCGCTTCTTCTTCTTCTTATTCTCCGTCTTATTTTTCTTTTTCCTGTTCTTCCACCTTTTCCTCTTCTCCTTCTTCTTCGTCTTCTTCTTCGTCTACCTCTTCTTCTCCTTTTTCTTCTGCATCTCCTTCTTCTTCTTCTCCACATATTTTCCTTTTTCCTCTTCTTCAAATTTTTCCTCTTCTTCTACTTCTTCTGCTTTTTCTTCGTCCTATTTATCTCCTTCTTCTTCTTCTTCTTCTTCTTCTTCTTCTTCTTCTTCTTCGTCTCCTCCTTCATCTTCGTATTCTTTTCCTCACCCTTTTTCGTCTTCTTCTTCTTTTTCTTTTTCATCCCCCCCCTGCTACTTCTTCTCCCCATTCTTTTTCTTCTTTTTCTTCTTCATCTTCTTCTTCTTCTCCACCTTCTTCTTCTTCTTCTCCACATTCTTCTTCTTCTTCTCCTCCTTTTTCCTGCTTCTTCTTCTTCTTCGTCTTTCCCCCTGCTACTTTTTCTCCTCCTTTGCTTTTCTTCTTGTTCTCACCATTCTTCTTCTTCTTTTTCTTTTTCTTCTTCTTCTTCTTCTTCTGCTTCTTCTTCTTGTTCGCCGACTTATTCTTTTTTCCCCTTTTTCCACTTTTTCCTCTTCTTGTTATTCTGCTTCTTCTTCTTCTTCTTCTTCTTCTTCTTATGCTTCTTCTTCTTCTTCTCCCCCTTATTCTCATTTTTCCTCTTCTTACAATTTTTCCTCTTCTTTTTCTTCTGCTTCTTATTCTTCTACTTCTCCCCCTTCTTCTTCTTCTTCTTATTCTTCTCCTCCCCCTTATTCTTCTTATTTTCTTCTTCTTCTTCTACCCCTTATTGATGTTTTTCCACATATTCCAATTTTTCCTCTTCTTCTTATTCTACTGCTTCTTCGTCATATTCTTCATCTGCTCCTTCTTCTTCGTCTTCTTCTTCTCCGCCTTCATCTTCTGTTTCTTCTTCTTCTTCTCAACTTATTCTCGTTTTTCCTTTTCTTCAACTTTTTCCTCTTCTTCTTCCTCTTCTTTTTCTTCTTCCCCCTTCCTACTTCTTCTCCCCATTCCTTTTATTCCTTTACTTGTTCTTCTTCTTCTTCTCCTCCTTTTTTTTCTTCTTGTTCTCCACCTTTTTTTTCTTTTTCTCCCCCTTCTTCTACTTCTTCTTCTTCTTTTTCTCTCCTCTCCTCCTTCTTCTTATTCTTCTTCTTCTTTTTCTCCGCATTATTTTTCTTTTCCTCTTCTAATTCTTCTGCTTCTTCTTCGTCTTCTTCTTCTCCTCTTTGAACTTTTTCTTCTTCTTCTTCTCCACTTATTTTCGTTTTACATTTTCTATAACTTTTTCGTCTTCATCTTCGTCTTCTTTTTCTTCTTCCCCCCTCCTACTTATTCTCCCCATTCTTTTTCTTCTTCTTCTTCTTCTCCCCCCTCTTCTTCTACTTCTTCTTCTTCTCCCCCTTCTTTTTCTTTTTCTTCTTCTTCTTATTCTTCTTCTTCTCCCTATTCTTCTTCTTAATCTACTTTTTACTTCTTATTTTCTTCTACTTTCCCCATTCTCATTCTTCTCCTCCTTTTTTTTCTTCTTGAACTCCCCCTTCTTCTTCTTCTTTTTTATCTTCTTCTTCATCTTCTTCGTCTTCTCCGCCCTATTCATCTTTTTCCACCTCTTCCAATTTTTCCTCATCTTCTTCTTCTTCTTCTTCTTCTCTGTCTTCTTCTTCATCTCGTCCTTCTTCTTCTTCTTCTTCTTCTCCACCTTCTTCTTCTTCTCCCCCTTCTTCTTCTTGTTCTTCTTCTTCATCGTCCCCCCCTTCCTCTTCCTCTCTTCCTTTTTTTCTTCTTCTTCTTCTTTCCCCCTTCTTCTTCGTATTCTTCTCCTCTCCCTTTTTCTTCTTCTTCTTCTTCTTTTTCTTTCTCATCCCCCCCTGCTACTTCTTCTCCCCATTCTTTTTCTTCTTTTTCTTCTTCATCTTCTTCTTCTTCTGCATCTTCTTCTTATTCTTATCCACATTCTTCTTCTTCTCCTCCTCCACTTTCCTGCTTCTTCTTCTTCTTCGTCTTTCCCCCTGCTACTTTTTCTCCTCCTTTGCTTTTCTTCTTGTTCTCCCCATTCTTCTTCTTCTTTTTCTTTTTCTTCTTCTTCTTCTTCTGCTTCTTCTTCTTGTTCGCCGACTTATTCTTTTTTTTCCCCTTTTTCCACTTTTTCCTCTTCTTCTTCTTCTGCTTCTTCTTCTTCTTCTTCTTCTGCTTCTTCTTCTTCTTCTCCAATTTATTCTCATTTTTCCTCTTCTTACAATGTTTCCTCTTCTTCTTCTTCTTCTTCTTCTTATTCTTCTCCTCCCCCTTATTCTTCTTATTTTCTTCTTCTTCTTCTTCTCCCCCTTATTCATGTTTTTCCACTTATTCCACTTTTTCCTCTTCTTCTTATTCTTCAGCCTCTTCGTCGTCTTCTTCATCTGCTCCTTCTTCTTCGTCTTCTTCTTCTCCGCCTTCATCTTCTGTTTCTTCTTCTTCTTCTCAACTTATTCTCGTTTTTCCTTTTCTTCAACTTTTTCCTCTTCTTCTTCGTCTTCTTTTTCTTCTTCCCCCTTCCTACTTCTTCACCCCATTCTTTTTCTTCCTTTACTTGTTCTTCTTCTTCTTCTCCCCCTTTTTTTTCTTCTTGTTCTCCACCTTTTTCTTTTTCTCCCCCTTCTTCTACTTCTTCTTCTTCTATTTCTCTCCCCTCCACCTTCTTCTTATTCTTCGTCTTCTTTTTCTCCGCATTATTTTTCTTTTCCTATTCTATTTCTTCTGCTTCTTCTTCTTCGCCTTCTTCTTCTCCTCTTTCAACTTTTTCTTCTTCTTCTACACTTATTGTCGTTTTACCGTTTCTTCAACTTTTTCCTCTTCATCTTCGTCTTCTTTTTCTTCTTCCCCCCTCCTATATCTTCTCCCCATTCTTTTTCTTCTTCTTCTTCCTCTTATTCTTCTCACCCTTCTTCTTCTTCTACTTATCCTTCTTCTTCCTCTCCCCCTTCTTCTTCTTATTCTCCTTCGTCTTCTTCTTCCTCTTCCCCCCTCCTACTTATTCTCCCCATTCTTTTTCTTCTTCTTCTTCTTCTCCCCCCTCTTCTTCTACTTCTTCTTCTTCTCCCCCTTCTTTTTCTTTTTCTTCTTCTTCTTATTCTTCTTCTTCTCCCTATTCTTCTACTTATTCTACTTTTTACTTCTTATTTTCTTCTACTTTCCCCATTCTCATTCCTCTCCTCCTTTTTTTTCTTCTTGAACTCCCCCTTGTTCTTCTTTTTCGTCTTCTTCTTCATATTCTTATTCTTCTCCGCCTTATTCTTCTTTTTCCACTTCTTCCAATATTTCCTCATCTTCTTCTTCTTCTTCTTCTTCTTCTTCTGCTTCTTCTTCTTCTCTGTCTTCTTCTTCTTCTCGTCCTTCTTCTTCTTCTTCTTCTTCTTCTCCACCTTCTTCTTTTTCTCCACCTTCTTCTTCTTCTTCTTCTTCTGCCCATTTTTCTTCTACTTCTCCTCGTTTTTTTTCTCCTTCTTCTTCCTTCCATCTTCTAATTCTTTCCGTCCTGTTTTATTCTTCTTCTTCTTCTCCCCCTTCTTCTTCTTCTTGTTCTTCTTCTTCATCGTCCCCTCCTTCTTCTTCTTCTCTTCTTTTTTTTTTCTTCTTCTTCTTTTCCCCCTCTTCTTCGTATTCTTCTCCTCACCGTTTTTCTTCTTCTTCTTCTTTTTCTTTCTCATCCCCCCCTGCTACTTCTACTCCCCATTCTTTTTCTTCTTTTTCTTCTTCTTCATCTTCTTCTTCTTCTACATCTTCTTCTTCTTATCCACATTCTTCTTCTTCTCCTCCTCCTTTTTCCTGCTTCTTCTTCTTCTTCGTCTTTCCCCCTGCTACTTTTTCTCCTCCTTTGCTTTTCTTCTTGTTCTCCTTATTCTTCTTCTTCTTTTTCTTTTTCTTCTTCTTCTTCTTCTTCTTCTTCTTCTGCTTCTTCTACTTGTTCGCCGACTTATTCTATTTTTTCCCGTTTTTCCACTTTTTCCTGTTCTTCTTCTTCTGCTTCTTCTTCT